GTTGTGTACAAAACTGTCCTTAGATTTGAGAACTTGTTGACGAATACACGCTATAAAATCAAAGCTTCACTCACCTCTGAGTTGCGATATAACTAGTATAAGAGTAAACCTTGGGTACTACGGGTGATTGTGATTCCACTTAAGTTGATTTATTAAGTTCTGTCATAAGAAGAAACAGTATTATTTACTGAATAACGTTACGGACGCAATTTATTGTTTAAAGTCATGTCAAGATAACGTCACAACTTTGAGATGTGGTTTATATAGCTTCACTTCTCACTCCTATTTTTTGCAAAAATAGGTATTGGAATTTTTCGTATATCCGGAACGAGTAGTGAATAATTTATATTGCGTACTTTTGGTATTGAATCAGTAAACAAAGCTTCGCTCAACAATCTCTCCCTCCATCCAATTAAGTTGACGCTTAGGAATTTCACTATACCCATCTTGTTGAAGCTTATGAAGAGGGCCATTGAGAAGTTATTGATCTAGTTTATGCAATTTTCAATAACCATCAGTATGGAATTGTCCCAAACTAAACGAATGATGAGACGACTTCAAATCGAGACGATAATAAGAGCAACCTATTTCCAGTTTTTACAAACTTAAACAGCCAAATTGTGTTCTATTTCATGTACAGTCATCAAACAATATTTTGTTAAAAGCTTAACCTTCAGAATGATTAGAATAAGTAATATGCTTTTGTTAAGTGGGTCTACAGTGTTGGCTGTTGCCTTCAGAATAACTCATTTAACAAACCAAGACTATATTCGGATAATATTAGCTAGCGTTTTTTACATCTCCAAGACCTTGATCAAACAACCTACTCATTCTACATGACTCATGTCAATATTTGGTGATTTCATGAAATTATCTCAATGCTTGATCTTGCTGCATTTAACACTCCGCCAACTATTTCTTATTTAAATTAACGTTGCGTGTTAGATTCCGCAGTCGCTGGGTATATACTTACTATATTTCATTTTTTCCCACTGGTGTGTCAAAAAATGCACTCCACAACCAAAAATTTCTACAAGTATTATTAATCACCACTTAGCTCGTTTACTGCTATGTGGTAATGTTATTCATGTTGACATCTATTTGACAGGCAGTTCGGCGAAACCAGTTCTACTGGACAGTAAAGTTTTGGGATTATCACCTTTAAGTTTTATTGATCAATAGTTCTGATGCTGTACTACCCGTTTCTTAGATTCACGGTACATGCCACGCGCTCTATAACTGTATCAATACTCTTGGCATTTTAAGTTAAAAAAATTCAAAATTTTGAGCATTCTATATATCACTTTTGTACACTCAGAATGATAGGAGTCAGGCTTAGAGTTTTCGAGAGAGGAGGAAAGTCAGTGGGGGCTCTATCGACCCAAATGGCCAGGATATATATTACGCATGTTAGGTCACCATTTGCCCTGTCGTGAAGTGTTGACTGAAACAGGTCTAGGTTGGGAAAAAGATAGAGACAGTCAGACTACGACAGGACATCAATATCTGAGGTTTTTGACCGTAGGTTTGATTTGAGCAGGGTGAGGGAATTTAAACTTCCCGGTTGGTGTCTACATAAAAATAGAAACCAGTGGTTAGAGACTCTAGTTGGCATTGTTCAGAATCGATCTCAGCGGCGTAGATATCCACGCATTATCTTCATCTTAACCACCTTAACTGAATGTGACTATCCTGTAATTTGTCCTTGCTCTGTTTTCATGAATTTCTTTTGATTTGAGCTACTTTCTTGTTTATTTCTTTGTATTTCATATTAGCACTTTTTCATTGGATATACTGACATAGGGTTAGGCAGTTTAGACCATTGGACAATAGTACCGGGTTCTGTCTTGATATTTTCTGTTTGCGTCTATACTCAGCAGAGTACTGAAGAGGCCCATAGTAAGACAAAACAGCTATCCAGTGTTCCTAGGTTTTCAGGAGTTTTCCAAATGATGTCATTCCTTAATGAATATTACCATATATATATATATATATATATATATATATATATATATATATGTATCGAGCAAGCTAAAATTAGCGATAACTAGTACTTCTGGTACAAAACAATATGGGCGATCAATGTAGAGAATAGCAATGCGTGAAATGCTCATTTTCAGATTACGCACACCTAGACAGAACTTCTTTTCTGTTATGCTCTTAGAAAATGAGAAAAAAATTATTTCAAAGGTAACCCCGATTATTCTATGACAATTCAGCAAATGAATAACATATGTGTTGTAAAGCATTTTTTGACACTGTGAACGATTCACCACTTCATCCTTTTGACAATTCAAAAGGTGTCACGTAAATTAATTTTATGTCACAGGAAGTCCAAACTTTTTTTGTACATAATCTCGAATATTCAACGGTGTCAATGTTAACAGAAACAATGAAAGTGATAAATGCAAGAAAATTGGCATTTAGATATAAGGGAATAAACACTTATTGTCAAAAACATGTTTATTCATACTTAAATGAGCATTCCCTTTTTGACTGATTGAAGAGATTATCACTTTTCTCCTGCATAAAATTCAAAGACAAGAAATAAATTCTCAAGGCTTTTTCTTATTGCTATCTTATAGTTACAAATAATATATTTCTGGTCAATACATCATATAAGAAGGAAATGTTCAGTGTCAGTGTACACAATTTTAAGCACTTTAGAGCCATAAAGTGTGTATAGCTTTGCTTTATCACTTAATTCAGTAACTATATAGGATAATCGGTTAATCGACTTTAAGTAGCATTTTAAAAAAAGGAATGACCTACTGGAAATAAGTTTATAAAAATAATCGTGATTGTGAATGAGTTTGTATAAGAGTAAAGTATTCTTCAATTCTTGAAAACACAATATAATATCTAGTAATTTACACTGTGTATAACCGTTACCTGAAAGAATTATATTTAGTTAACTGTATACTTAAGATGCACAAGTAGTCATTTCTAGCAGAAAAAGAAAAAGTAATGATAAAACTACAGTTAATGTAGCTAATAAACTTTACAATTTTTGAGGATGAAATTTAACCAGAAATTAATAAAGCATACCTGCATATTGCTTAAACACTGTTCCCATCAATACACGCTTAGATCAAACCTTAAAGAATAAAGAAATCCAGAATCTTATGGAAATGATTAATTTTACTGAATAAAATTCAAGACGATGTCATATCAGAATATAGTCTAGCTGACGGTGATTTTGCTGGTCAGTAGAACAATATGCAATAGTTTAAAAACTTCCCTTTTCACTAAACAGTTGGATAGAGTTCAGGGTACATCAACACTTAGTAGTACGTGGAAAGGGAAGGTAGAGATATTCAATGATAACATTTTTTTTGGATTTAAATCGTGACGTAATGAATTTATTACTGTGTGTTGATCCATTTTGATACTGGATCGAAGTGATGGACCTCTGTTGGCATATGGACTCTTATCCGGATGCCTCGGTATTACCTGAATCTTTATGATTATAATCTACTAGGCTGTGGCTTGCTGAGCAATCAACGAATAGTAGCACTAATACCCATCGTAAAAGCTCACCCTAGTTGCTTAGTGGGTAACGTTTTACCGTTTGAAGCGATGGGTACGAGATTCAAGTCTCAATGGGGACAATATGATCCACAGGTACATCCAACTGACGAGTCATAAATAGGACGAAACTCTCATCCTGGATTTCTATGCTGGCTGTAACCAAGTAAGTTATAATAATGAATTCAGTCTTAAAACATTTCTAACATTCATCATCACTGATGACAAAACGCAGGCAGAAATCTTTCAACAAATGATTTAGTTATCATTTTGATTATCTGGCTTAGCAGACTACTATTTATACTGGGTGATGATTGAAGGTGAAAAAAAATTCGAACCAGCGACTACCGGGTTTCTGACCCGATGCTCCAACAACTGAGCCACATGATCCAATTGCTGACCACATTTTTATTTCAATTCAATCACTATGAGAACTTATAGAGCCTCACTAGACAACGATAATCAATATGATGCTTTCTGTCTCCAATTTAGTTAGATTTTAATTGGGACCAGAAGTGCTGACTAGACAGTCAGGGTGAATACGATCAAACGAAAGTAATGCGTCATGAATTCATATGGTATTCAGGTAACACTCCTGAGGATTGAAGGGAAATACAAATATGGTCAGCTGTCAGACCTCCTAGCTCAGTTTATGGAGCATTGGGCAGGAAATTCGGTGGTCACTGGTTCGAATCCAGCCTCGGTCCAAATTTTCATTTCACCTCCAATCATCACTCAGTATAAAAAATTTGATTATCCATAACTTTTAGCCAATCTAAAGTACAAATCATACAATAATCAATCTATCTCAAGTAACCTTATTTGGTAGGCTAAATTAAATTTAATCGCTAGAGTTAAAAGTGGATTTTAATCACTTCAAGTTTATAACAAGTACAGAAGTTAGAATTTATTTTCATGTTTATGACATCAGTTAGGGAATCATTGAATATCGAGAAGGTCTGGATAGCTGTTTTGTCTCAGTATGGTACTGCTCTGGATTATACACCCTCTACCCTGCCATAGATCAAACTCATGACCTTCACATTTCACGGCGAACGCATCAACCAGTAAGCTATTGTGTCACAATCCAATACTCAACAGTTTCCCATTCCTGTCAATTCGTGAAGTAGTTTTTTTAAATATGTAAATTGGTGAAGTTAAACTTCTGATTAGGAAACTATTCATGTAAGAAACAAACAGTCAGCTAGCACAACTTTATTGGCACACTTAGAAAACGTAAAAACATCAACAGATAAAAATTATAAAAAGGTATGTAAACATTTTTCCAAACTAAAATAACATTGATAAAGATATGCACACCAAAATGAAGAACAGTATTCACCCTGAAAACTACACTCATTCTAAAACGTACTCACACATACATACACATTTATAAACAGAAAAGATGACACTGATTAAAGAATGAAAGCAATAAGATGGACAGTGACACATCAACCAGTAAAAACACTTACCACAAAACCTCTTGATCTAATATGTGGTGTACGATTTGATTCATGCATTATAGATGTGTCATTTGAACGAATCAAATGAGTCTCCATCAAGGTGGTTAGACCCTCGAATATCAAAAATGAAATTTTTTATTGAACAAAAGGAAAATAAACATATTGTTAATAAAATATAAAAAAATTGAAGTATTTAGTAAATAGTTATTTATTTATCTCAATAAAGGCGGTACTATTCTAAGATGAATGTTTCAGGGTAGATTTTCTTCTAATGAGATAAAACTTTGATTGAATGTCACTGACAAGGACTTCCAAAAGTGTTTATTAGACGTTTGTGTTATGCATTCATAAAACAGAATAAAGGAAGTTGCATGCAGTGTACAAAATGTTGTACACATACCTGAAGATTGATGGTAGTCTGTTGTGCAATCACACTAGCAGAGAAAATATATAACAGTGTATCTAATAACTTGACTCATTGTTAGAAATTTTTATATTTGGATGCATTAAATAAGACTAGAGTGTTAAGTAATTAATTGGTCTAAGTGTAATCGTTATATTGAAGTGATATCAGTTGATGAGTGACTGTAACTCAGGAAGCTTTTGACATATACACTAAACCCTCACAAATACTCCACAAAGAAAAGAAATATGGACCACTGAATGCCAACCAAGTGGCTGAGTGGTAAAGGGCTGGTGACGGAACCTGAAGGCCTCATGGGTTCGATCCCTGGCGGGCGGGGTCATGAGGAGTTCCATACTGGGACGAAATAGCTGTTCAGTTCTCTCAGTTTTCCAATGTTCCTGCAACTAATGTCAGTCCATGATGAATTCCAACCTAAAACAACTTGAAATTATTCAAAAAGTATGAGAATTCTTTATTCGCATTGCTGTTGGCCACACATAAAATATTCCCCTTGACAAAGTGAACTTGACTTCTTGGTAAGTTCAGTAAAAGCTAACAGTAGTGAGTCAGACATTATTTTTATTTCATCTCATCCAAGTAAAAACGATACGCATTGAATTAAGATATTGTTTGCTAACCGTTGTATAGACTTCTCTTCATAGCCAAGAAAATGGTGGGTTAATTAATCTCCAGCTTCAAAATTTATGCTTTATCGAGTTATATACTAAAAAGATTAAATGTGTAGATTTCACAATGGTGGGTTAACGTTATGGTTGGATGACTTCTCGACAAATAAATCATCATACACATCAACAATAAAGATTATTTTCCACTTGTTAAATAATGATGTGAAACACAGTTAGTATGGTTTCAAGTTGCTTCAAACGATAATAACACAACATAATCAAAATATCAAATGATATTTAATGCATGTTCCCATCGAATCCCAGTGGGAACAACATCACTCACTGGGAGGCAGGTACATCCAGCTGATGAGTCCCAAATGGGACGAAATAAGCATCCTGGATTCCACTACTAACCACTATCCATCTTTACTACAGCTAGAACACAGGTTATATTGAGGCATCCAAACGGGAGCTCATATGCCAATAGAGACCGATCAATTCGGTCAAATCAACGACGGTATAATACAAGCAATAACAGTGTAGTGGATATTACCTCAGAGATACCCCAGTAATATATAGTCGTCAATATTCAAACTTACTGATGGAATAAATGATGAAAAACAGCAGACTGATAAATTGTCAATCACCAGTTCTTATAACTAACTGAAATTTATGTATATACGGGCTTTAGGTCATTCAGTTTCTTAGTAAAGTTTTCTTATTTAGTCAGTCGACTCGTAACAATGCATAAGAGTTTATAGAAATGCTGATTCATATTTGGAAATACATTTCTGAAATACGTGTCACTATTTTTACTGCATGAACCCGGTTTTCTGTTCAAAATTAACTTTTGAAAATTTTATATTTGATGTACAAGTGAGGGTGACTTCTAAAGACCACCCTAGCACTTGTTGGGGTAGCCAGTCAAGTTTTGATATTTCGGTTAGGAAGTTACATTTTCGCAAGATACAGAAGTCTAATTGGCTATTTCAGTTGTTGCTAGGGTGCTCTTTGAAGTCACTCGTAAGTGATGATCTCAGTGAATTGTGTAAGCATGTTTTAAATCAGTCTACTGAATCCACTGTAATAGAGATTTCAGTGGTATGTTTATGTTTTTAAAAGTACGGAGAATAGGAGTTTTTACTAATAATGAGAACATTTACACTGCCACAATCTGGCGATTGAGTACTGAATATTATCACCGAGTAGCAACTATACTAGTCATCATATACTGATGAATTTTATTCTTCATATAGTCCTGTCAAAGGTTAGCTGTGATCACAATATCTCAGAGAGAAGCAATGGTTGAAACCCTAGAGGGAACGCAAGTATATTCAACTTTACGAATAGGCTCCTCTGATGAGTGTTAATAAGCATGAAATCCAGATCCATAGTGTCATTCAGAGTAACTTCGAAAATCTCATACATGTAGCTTTATTTGAAACTATCTACAGATGGTAAACCATGAAAGATTTTGTGCAAAGAGCGATATCTAAGCTGTTGCGCATGAAGAAGATGGTGCTCTTATGCATCGCTGAACCCCCGCATATTTTACCAGGTGAAATGAATGAACTGTCCTTATGAAGATTGGTTTCTCAATCAACTCTTCATTTCTATATTACTTGAGCATAATGCATCCAATGGGAAGGACTAACTATTTAATTTGGATATAATAGACGGATTTTAACACCAGTGAAATTCAAGTCAATATCAATTATTGCTACTATATGGAAGTCTTTCAGATATTCGGTATATCATTTATGATACGTTTATAACAGAAGCGGAGAAAGTCCGCAATGTGTAGTTGACTAGCCTACTTGATAAGTTAACTTTTACCAATAACAGTTAACTTATGAAGAATACTAAGAGGATTGTGACTGATAGTTTGTGAGCAATTTATTGATTTCAAAAGAGTTCACTTCAAAGATATACATCGGCTCTAAAAAAACTAGAAACACTTGACACTGATTCGCCCTTGTATTGATTGGTCACGGGGGTGCAACCAATTTCATGTTGTCAAGTCCTGAGCGATCATATTTGCAATGTGGCAACTAAGCTAGGAAGCTCAGCATCGAGGTGCACATTGGTAGATGATTCGGCCTTGTTTGAAACTTCTTCTTCGTATTGTACAACAGTGACAGCATAGGAAATCTAACCCACAAATATCACATTTTATAAATATTAAATTGATACTCAACCATTGGTTCCAGCTACTAATAAGACCCAACTTCTCTCGCTTTGTAAAATATTATGACTATCACCTAGTGTTATTGTCAATTATTTTGCCATAAAGGCAGTTAAGTAGCCTCCACGAGTCACACCTTCTTACTGGAACTTTGAGAAGTTTATCTTCAAACAAGTAACTAGCGAGTAATGCGTGATGCTCTTGCTACGTGCTGAACTCAGAAGAGAAGGAAATAATAGATCACTGAGGTCCACCCTAGTGGCTGGTGAGTAACGATCTTTCTGTGTTCCGTGTTACACAAAATTCCCAAAATGGGACAAATCAACTGTTTCATCCTTCCAAATTTTCAGTTTATCTGTGACTGATAACAATCCATTAAGAAAATCCCTCTGATAATATTTCTTGAAAAGAAGTACAAAATCTGAAGCAAATAAACAAACAGTCAAAATATAAAAAAAATTCATTTTTTAGTGTTATTGCTAGCTGTTAGAAATGCCAATTTAGGATGTACGTTTAGTTTCATTTTGAACTCAATGATAGGCTCTTAGATAACGCTGAAATATTTTGTACTAACGGTTTTCATTTCCCAATTGCAGTGTAAATATCAACACTATTTTAAGTGAGAATACATACGGCTGATGAGTTTCGAATTTTCCATTGGAAAGCATTAGGGAATAAATAATGCTATAATATCAATCCGGGTAACATTCAGAAATCCGTTAAGGGAGCAGTTAGGTCAACAGGAAGCGATCATTTTTGTCCAATAACATGCATATAGATTTAAAATCTAAAGAAGATTTACTGTGTTCGTATAGATTTGTAAGCAACAAGACATTCTCATAATAAAACTTCATAAGATATTTTAAAGAGAAGCGGAGGGGGGGTGGAATCATACTGTAACCTTGTTTACGAAAGTTTGTAATAAAAGCAAAAGGAAATGGAGGAACAGTTTTTGGGGAGGTTTCAGGACAAACAGTAAGCAAAAATGTCATAAAATTTAGGGTTTTTATTTGAATATGCTATTATGCATAGGCCCAGACACACAGACAGTTGTGTAGTGTCATGAAAAATAGATTCAATGAAGTAGTAGAGGTTGTTAGAGTAACTCTAGAAGAAGAAAGAAGCAGTCGCAAATAGAATTGCATCGTGTGTACACAAGCTGAGATACGCAGACGTGCATTCCATTTTTATTCATTTATTTGATTTATCACATATTGGAACAGTACTATTTTCTGGATTACGTTTCCGACACTACTGTTCGTAGTCATATCAAGGTAACTACACAACTTTCAGGCATCCTTTATATAGTCCGAATTTCCTCGCCTATTTTTTGATATAGGTAGTAGGATTTACCACATATCCGGAACAGGTGCTGAGTCATTCTGTTGCATGTATTAGGTGTTGGTTGATTTGATCAATAAAGAATCAATTGTCGATCTCTCCCTCCACCTTGTTATGTTAATTTTTAAGGATTTACACTCCGTCTCATTCTATTGTATGGTTGTGTGTAATCCCATGCATAGCTATGTCCGAGTTTTTTTCTAAATTCCTTTTCTTACTAGGATCTACCAATTTTGACCTAGCTTGAATAACGTAATCGAACCTAGTTGACTACTTTGACCTATGTATTTGACCTCACAGTTGTTGCAAGGGGTTTGATAAACTAAGTTATTCTGCTTAATTGATCAGTGGAATCTTTTAACCTACAAAGCTTATTTCCAAATGAGTTTGTTGGTTTAAACGGCACTCCAAACCTAGCCAGCCTCATTAAGAATCCTACGTAGTGTCTCTGAGGTGCCTTCTTTGTATGGTAATACCGTAGACGTCTTGAAGTCTCTCTTCAAAGTGTTGTCACTACTATTATTAACATTATTATTACCACTATCAATACTTG